CTCAATCATTGGTTTTAATAAAATATTAAGAAAGGAAAGATATAATGAGTTGATTGACAATGTCAAAATTAAAAAAATGACATTGTTTAAGCACATAACAAACTTAGGGAAAACAGATAAAATTAATTCAATTTTCACATAACAGTTACATAGGACATAAACATAAGAATTTTAAGAACACAAATTTTATGAAAGTAGCTTTGTCAAATAATGGAAACATAAATAGAAAAAAATTGTCCAGCGTTAAGAACAATTCAAAACCATATAAACGTTTTAGAAATATACTATCAAAATTTAAAAAAGTGATGCCAGATTACGGGCATAATCACTAAAAGAATCAGGGGTTCTGATTAATTATAAATAAAAACTTACTGTAACATATAAAGCCATTTAAAATTATTTTAATCCTATACTCATCACTACCAAAAATTTTACATTTGTAAAAAATATAATATAATTTTTGAGAGAAAGATTGCTAAGCAATCTAGGGAAGAGTTTCGCTATACCATATCATCTTTGTCATATCCTCAGCACAAACTATTTCTTCAACACAAATCATTTCTAGCATACAAGAGACTTGAAATTATCAAATCTAATTTAAGATAAAAATGATCCTCAATGAACAGAGGAAAGAGTTATGATCTTAGATTATAGTAATAAAGGAAAGATATAGATGTGATAAAAAAATGTCAATAAATAATGTAAATGAAACCAATCAATTGTAAATCTCAATTTCACTTTCTATTTTAGAAATGCTTTCTTTACCTTCATGAGATATTTTTCATGGTTCAGAAAAAAAAATTTTCAATTAAAAAATACAATTCTGATATCGTTCATACATCTACATATGATCCTTTCAGTTGACAGAATGAAATATTTTTTATTATTAATTTTAGTGATATTTTTTAGTGGGAACATTTATACCTTTATTCACAGTTCTATAGTTCAAAACCGCAATCACCTACTTTGGAATCAACATAATCACTATCTTTGCAGATATCATAAATTTTCCAACTAGAAATACCACTACAATGACTTTACTCAAAAATGTTGAAATTGGAGTAGGTCATTCTGTCAATTGAAAGGCTCCCATACGATAAATCAGTGTAAAACTTTCTATCGTTGGAGTACCCAGGCGCTCCCACGTCTCCAGTTGCTATGCCGAGATGAAGTGGCTCTATCCAGTTTTCCGACGGCAATATTTCCGAGGTGTATTCCTTTTCCAAACCTTTACAGCCAAAAAACCTTCTTACCTTCATAATTTCTTTACTCCTTGTTCCTCTGTTAAACACAAGATCCCAATCCTCAAATTTGTATATTCCATCCCATAGAACTGTTTCCTTTAAAAAACCTTCATCATATGTACTATGTAATTTTGGAATTCCCTACCAACCTCTATAAGGAAATCATCCTTGACCTCATTTAAACACAATTTATTTTTTCATCTCAGTAATCGATCTTACGAATATATGTAACAATAAAGTTATTTTGTACTTTAGAGATGTCAATTACACTATACCGATATCTTGCAGATATCTATGTATGTGCCATATTGCTTATTTGTACAAATATGTGAACTCACCCATATGTATTCATATTTAAATTCATGTCTACTTCTAGATCATATATTTACTAGTGTCTTTTCTTTATTTTAATATTAAGGTTAGAAACTTTGTAAATTAATTTATTTTTAATCGTCATTTAATTATTCATAATTGCTAGACAACTGAAATTTTTTTGTTCATTATAGATATTCTGAGGGGACTAAATGTCCCAGAATTAAATTGACTTCCTTTGTTTGGTTTACTAAGTTTGTGTATGAGATTAATGGTAAGTAATAATTAAACATAATACACCAACAAAGCATGCATACATAAAACATGATACATTTTATTTTAAAAAGTTAGGAACATAAGTATAAAAAAATAATAAAAAGATAGAGATGGGATAAAACGACTTTAATAATATATATACCTATGCCGTAAAGGTATAAAACAATAACATGGGCAGTAAAAAAATTAATAATAAAAGACATATTTGTTTAATAGGTATAAAAAGCAACAATATAATAATGACTACAATCCAGATGATAATGAAATAATATATAATATTTTTTATAATATATAAAGTCTATCATGTAACAAATGAAAATATATGAGTAAATCCATCATATTTTAGTATGTATATTTTGATGCTTAAATAGGGATTTGAACAAGCAACTAAAATATACAAAAAATTAAACTATGACTATATAAAACATTTCAAATTATTTTTTTGATCACTTCAGAGTAGGGAATAACAGATATTTGAATTTTTTTTTTTACATTTTAGGTTGTGCATAGGGGTCCAATTATGACTGAATTAATCATACTAAAGAAAAATTTAGAAATATTTCAATGTACGAAAAGTGAAGTAAAAATTTAACTAAGATACTCTAAAATAAAATTCCTATTTATAATGGAATTTAGTTTAATATTTACAAACACTTTTTTTTTCATTTTTTTTTTTTCATTTTTGTTCGGTTTAAATGAGTACTTGAGCAATAAATGTGTTGAATAATAACAAACTATTAATAATATTCGAATTAGTTCACAACAGATACAGATACAATTATATCTTAGCTTTTAATAACTAACTAAACTGAAGATTATTAAATTTTCATTTATTCATAAAAGAAACATACTTGGCTAAAATTAACCAAATAAATTATCCAAATAGCACCATAACATTCAATGAAATTATTTAAATGGTAATAGACATAATTACGTTACAAAGTGCCGAAAAAATACACTAAAAAAAAAGAAATATCTACATGTAGATATCAAATTTTATTAGTTCAAAAATAATAAATAAAAAATTAGAACTTCCACCATAGACGACTAATCTGAAAGATCCAGCCTCAAAATATATCTTATCTAATAATTTATTTATTACATTTTCTTACTAAAGCTCTGAATGAAAACAGAGATTATATGCATACTATGTTTAATTGAAACAGTTGGATAATGTACACACAGCACAAAATATAAATTTTAACTTCATAAAAAATAAAAGATTGCTATAAACTGTAATAATAAATAAAATTAAATTGACTTCAATAAAAATGCAATTCAATTCAATCACTCTTAATTTTATATGAAATGCAAAATCAAAATTATTATCTAAATTATACACGGATCTCTCAGATCAATGCAAATGCTGGTAATTATGCCTTACATGGCTTGTAATGAAAGGTTAAAAAATAAAATAAATGCAAAACATTTGGAATTAAACGGAACAAACATATAAATACGTTGTCAATAACATTTATACAAAATTTAGGAGAACATTATCCGTTCTTTAGTCTTATTCACAACTTTAATTTTACTATATAAAAGATAATTCTTGTTATTTTTATTTTTTTTTTTTTTATATTATTAACAGTTTACCTATTTATACTTTTGGAACCAAAAAGAATCAATTAGAAAAAACTAGACAATATTTACTAAGTGAAAGGAATGCACTAAGCACAAACCTAAGAGAAAAAAAAGAAGAATATTCCCCCTCGAAAGACGTATGAAATGGGATTAATGAAATATCTAATAGAATAAATAAGGGCACCATGTACAAAATTACAAACTCTTTTCATTCCATTCCACATTATCATTCCGCATGCAAATTAAAAAAGAAAATCTTTTCGTAGAAGGCACAGTCATTCAATCCTATATAAACAGTATCCCAATATATAAAGAGAGCTATACTTAGTAAAACCAATAGCAAACTATGCTTCATTTTTTTTTTGTTTACTTTTCTTATCAAAATTGTATAATGCTGTACAAATCGAATATGAAAACACTGCAGTCTGTACGAGGAATGTGGGTTTTATGTGCCCTTATTTTATAATTAATCTTTTTCCATTTTTTTTTTAATTTACTTTTTTTACACAACTTTGATTGCCTATCTAAATCCTTAATGTTTACATTCTGTACAATACTCATCATTAAAAATTTCTACAACGAATTTCAAGGAAATTGCACCTAATGAAAAAACAGAAGTCAGGCACAACAAAACATTTTTTTTTTCTCACAATTAATTTACGATGCCAGCGGATATGTTTGGTTTTTATCATAATTATTTTTAAAACGAGGTGTGTTGGTTAAGTATATATTTTTTAATATATTTAACCAATCGGCACCAAATATACTAACATATCGAAATGTAATCAGGACCTAAAATTTTATAAACACTAAGAAAACATGTATTTACAATTGTCATGACACAATTGTGAGGAACTGAGGACGCTCACTCAATCTATACAAAAAATAAAATAAAATAAAAATTAATAATAAAAATAAAAATGAAATCTTCTGAATAATATAACAAACGTTAGAAATCTGAACCTGTGCCTGACTGTAAAGCCTTAAAGAAATAAATATCACATCCACACAATTATAGTGTGCATTACTAATAACACTCTAATTATTGTTATCATATATTATTTTCAAAATGAAACTAATTAAACATAAATAAATCTATAAAACGTAGAAAAATGAAATTATTCAATGTGTTTTCAGTTTGGAAGAAAAATATATGAGAGAATGATTAAATAATAATAATTATAATAAAATAAAAAATAATGGTCTACGATTAACTTGCTAACATTGAATATAAATTAAATATTTTTTTCCCTTTCATAACAGACTTACTCCTTGGTTGAGTTTCATCAGACAGGGGAGGATAAGAAAAATTTGGCACTTGGTTAGTAGTCAAACCCCTATTGATGACGATGACTTAACAAGATAAAATATATAAATACATAGATGATTAATGAGAGGAACAGTGATAAGATAGCCTCGAGTGACACTAAGTGATACGTAGCGGGGCGGAGGTAACTCCGTCAAAGTCTTCTTACAGTTTTCAACTGCTCCTCCTATTCAAACAAAATGAGAAATAATTAAAATATTCCAATTTAATCATTGATAAATAATTATTAGTAGTGTTTTTATACCTAAGAATACAGATCACCAATTTGCCATTCCTGGTTTATTGAGAGTCATAAAATAAATTTGGCAAGAAGAACCACCTTTAGCTGATGAGAAGAACACCTAAAAATTATAATAGTTTAAAAATACAATAAAATAGATTTCATAATAAAATCTATTGTTCAATTGGCTTTTTAAAAAATGTTATAAAAGTTGTCTTATGATTTTAAGTATTAAAAAAATTTATTTATATATGAGTAATTTCCCTGGAACATGCTGATGTCAAGTGATTACTGTATTAGAAAAAATTAAAAATAACTGACCAGGTTTTTATCATGAGCACATGTGCGGAATACTTTTAAAATACTTTTGAATATACCGGTACATTCAATAAGTCACATATGCTAATATTGGTCCAATTTATATATATATATATATATTTGTTTGGTATAGCACAATACATGAAATGTATAATTTGTTTCAGGATCTAAATGTGACTGGGAAATGTAAAAGTTTTTATCGGTGATGTAGATAAGATTGAAAATAAAATTTATTCTTTAACAAAGACCCTCAAGAATAATTAGTATATACAAATAAACAAAAACCATATTAAGCCAAAAACTACATTAATAATATATAGAATAGGAGTACTCATACATTTGTAAATGCTTAATGTACTATCATGCTAAGCAGTCAGAACAAATTTTGAATGAATGGTAAATAACCTCTCTGTGCTAACATACTAAAGTGTTATTAGTTATAGTAAGATTATGTCTGCACTGTAAACAAAGTTTGTGAATTCTTAATTGATCTATTAACGTTTCGATTTATTTTTAAAATGCTAAAGCAAAATGATAAGACTGAGTTGCTGAATTATTTGGTTAAAAATGCTTTATTAAAACGTATAGATGAAGATTCAGAAGTTTAACATTCCATTTCTGTGGATATTGTACACAAACAAAGAACAAAGAATCAAACACATTAAAACTTTACAATAATATTCTCTGTATGATTATGAAGTTAGCAACACTTTACAGGACTTAAGACTACATTAAAATCGAGAGTATTAGCGACCATATTTAACGCACATTTCGTAAATAATTTTTGCAACTTTACACATTTAAGAGGTTTACAATACTTAGTACTGAATACCTCTACCTAATATCTTTAGTGATAATATATAAACAACAAAAAGTAATTGTAATGAAGAAACAAAAAAAGGTAAGAAACACTATGAGTTGATCCTAAAAATTAAACCTTAAACAATGTAAATGACTATCATATACTTATATTAAAAATCCAATCATAAAATAAAATTTCATGACAGTCGAGCATCTGTTTGGAATGTGTGAAGGGAATTTCAGAAGGCAAAGGAGCAGGCAAGAAAGGAACATTCAAAGATTTCAGTTCTGTGAGAAGGGGCTAAAAACGTCAGAAACATGGGATTTTGAGTGGACTAGGTGTTCGAATTGAAGGAGACTGTAGATGTTGAAAGAGTACTGGGTGTTGATCGTTTGAAATAGGTAAGATCCAAGGACATCTAGTTGACGAAAAGAACACATGAAACAGCCTCGAAGTACCGAAGACAAATCATAATAATCAATAAGCAATTCAAGTACTATATATATATATTTTATTCTATGTGAAAAAGTTAAATGCTTTAAGGAGAAGACTTTAGGAAAGATTGATCACAATCGTTAAGAGCCATTTAGACGCAAGTCTATAGAAAACAGGTTTTTCCTCTACTACACACAAGATGCTCGATTCGGAACAATGGGGACCAAAAGCCTATAAAACTTAATTAGTCCACCTGTGTAAAAAGGTATGGTCATAAAAAATACAAACAAGATCATTAAACAATCAAAAATTCTTACCTTATCATTCCTTTCACACAGAAACTTGAGGCGTTGAGCTTTTTTATGCATGAAAACGCCATCAAGATGTCCAGTCTCAACACTACGTATTTCAATGGCCTTATTGCCCCATCCCATAATTTGACCTGTTCCTATATATGCCACAGAAGTAGGCATCTCTCCCCATTGGAGGACTATATTTTTGGAAACCTGTAAATGAAATTAAATAATAAAAAAAAATATATGCAACTTTGGAGATAAGTGTCATTACTAACAGCCTAAAAATTTGGCTAAATGAAAGAATAATTGATTTTCTTTAATAATGATTTTATTATACTTTTTTTTATCATAAAAAAAGTTTGAACTCGTATAGGCCAGAATTGAAATAGCAACACTAGACTCAAGCCTGCTGAGGTTATTATATCATGCCTTAACACTAAGAAGTAAAATGGCTTAAGCTCAATATATTCCAGAAAAAGGTGGGATATTATGGTAAAATAATTTCACAATTTTTGGTTCAACAACAAAGAAATTGTATATAAATATGGATTTGTTCTGATTGTGAGAATTTCTCATACAAGCTTAATGTATCTGAAATAACCTTCAATGTTAAAACCAAATTTACCTGTAGCTGCATCACAACCACTTGTGCTATAAAAGGTGCAATAACAACACTGTTTTGTTACCAGGCTTCTTAATTTGATTAAGCAACATACAGGTTTTTCTTAAGTGCAAATATCTCCATACAAAAGTTTACGAATGGATATAAGTATGACTAATGAAAAATGAATGAAGTAAATAAACAGATTGTCAATTAATAAAAACTAAAACAAAAAATAAAAACGTAAGTAAATATTACCTTTCCATAAGTATTTACATAGACTCCTTCATTATCGTAACAAAGGAGAAGTTGCATGCCATTTGAATTAGGAAGGGGTACGATACAATGTGGGCTAATGGCAGCCTGAGTCTGAAAAAAAAAATAATAAAATAAAGAAAGAAAAAATGAAATCAGAGAAAAGTAGTATGTGTTGAATATGGACGTTCTGAACAAAAGATAATCCATAAAGAAAAACATCAGTAAAATTCAGAAGGTGGAATCATAAACTACCACACCCTCAGGCAATAAGTTAGATTAGAATATGTTAAAAAAGACTACTTACATGTTTCGGGAGGTATATATCATAAACTGAGGCAGAATCCAAATCAACTGCATGAAAACCGTCTGCTGATCCGTAGATCACCTTAAGACGTGTTCCCTCTTCGACGGTTAAATCAACCAAAAGTGGTCTATGTGCTAGTTCACCAAATGACTAGAAAAAGCAAGCACATATGACAATCAAATTAAAAGCATTATAAATCAAGAAAAAACATGTAAATGAAATCCTAAACAGAAAATGTAAATAAATAGAAATACATAACAAAATAAATTATATGTCTTAATGAAATTTCTTAGAAAAAAGAAAAACATAACGCGTTAAAAGAATATTAAGTGAGCCATCTACTATTTGTCAATTAGTCATGAAAACGTAATCATTAGACTATTTCATATTATAAATATTTATAAGTGTTATTTTTCAATACTCTACCCAGAAGTACACTCGATGCAAGGTATAATGCCAGCACATATAACAAACATATAAATGGAATGGTACTTGACAATTAATTGTTGTTTTCAAGAGTGATTTGATACTCAGAGAACAATACAATTAAAGTCTCACTATTCACTTCAGCATTTGCTCACAGTGTGTCTGCAAGAGTCAGTCAGATTTCTTGACCATTACCTGCTTAAATGAAATTTCCTGTCCCTACCAAAGTAAGGAATTGAAAGAAAAATAATATGTATTTGTTAATAAGTTAACTATTATATAATATATAATAATCGTGGGTTGATGGTTGACTGTAGTGAATAATTGAAGGGAAGGATGGTTGAAGTGATCAGTCAAAATAAAATATAGTAAAATAAATAATTATATTAATTTTTTTAAATAAATAAAATTATTTATTTTACTATATTTTATTTTGACTGATCACTTCAACCATCCTTCCCTTCAATTATAAAAAATTAATAATGAAAAATAATAAGTGATACTAAACTTGAGAATGGTCCGAATATTATAACACAAGTGTCAAGAAAAATCCAAGTCCAGCATGATCAGTTAATTAATTGAAAGTTTAAATTATATTTTTTTTATTTATATATAATTGGAAAAAAAAACACAGACAAAAATGGAATGAATCGTTTATTATCATATCCAGAAAATAAAGAATGAAAAAGATTAAACGTAGCCTTTGAGTCTTGAACACAATGAACAATTTGTTATCTTATTCCAAGTAAGCCAAGTTGTCAGGACGAATCGTACATAAATAGGAATATATTGTTCAGATGCTTACTATGTTTAATTTTATGGCCTCCCATGGTAACCTTGTAACTGACGTTGTTGCAATAATTTATTTTATTTCATTTTTTTTACTATTTTACGATTTGAATGAAAACCTCATATGACAGATAAGTAGTATAAAAGTTGACATTAAACTTATATAGGGGACTTTTACCAATTTTCAAGTCCCTAACCACCAGATAAAAGGTTTTTATAAAAATGGAAAAAAATAAATAAATTATTGCAAAACAAATTATACCATGTGAGACCATAGATAAGTTTATAATTATTATTAATATTAAACTATTTTTTTCATCCTGTCTACATTTCTAGTGGTTTTACATACATTATGTATTATGTTTATCGAGTTCTTCTTAATCACTTGAGGTGCTTTCAAAATTGATGTCAAGCTCATTCACTCTTCTAAATATATACTTTATAAGTTCCACACTTTTTTTTTTTTTATGAATAAATTTCTGAAGTACGTTTATTCATTTCTGAATCAATCCACACAATCAATATTAAAAAAAAGGGTACTAACTAAACTAACAGCATCTTCTGAAGTGATCATTATTATTAAGAAAAATAAAAATAAAAGACAAGTTGGAAGAGAAAGAAGGCCTCAAATCTACATTTTTTAGTTGATCTTACTTATTTAATTCTTCACGTCGGCGCAGATAGCACAACTAGTGCTGATATTAAAGATGTCCTCTTACTTGACTTAAGACCTGTGTTACATCTGTTTTTTTATCAAATAAACAAGATTTACAGCATACAAAAACCAAGTTTTAATTATCTAAATAATGATAATTGAATCATAAGATAAAGATATTAAAATTATATTAGAACCAATAAATTAATAAATATTCTATCATAATGAAAATATACTGGAGTAAACTCGAATCATAGCGAATTATTAGTAATAAGAAAATAAGTCTGATTTATAAATTCAGAACTGAATTAAACATATATATACACACAATACAGTAGAATAGATCTCTTTTCCCGCTTTCAGCTGTGATGACTTCAGACAAATGAGAAGTCAAAAGAAAGGGAATTTTATGGAGAAGTGATGAATCCTAATTTGGATGCTTAAATTCACATATCTTTAATAAAAGTCAGTGAAAAAAACAGGTTTCAAAACTCCAATGATAGTTAAGCCGACGGATCAAGACTGAACAAATTGTGTTTTGAAGATATTCACAGGGACATCAGATCCTCTCTTAGGAACTTGGGTCCTGGTTCCATGGCCAGGTCTTGGTATGGGTCTTTTCTCACGCCTACACATTGGCTAGATGACACATTGGTCCAATCAAATTTGCAATATTTTCCTTAGATAATTTGGTTACTTCTTTTTTTTTTCCGTTGACATTACAGACCTAGTAGATCTTTTGCTGCCTTAAAAAGCCTATTCCATCTCTGCCTATCTTGGGCTATTTCTTTCCAGTTATTTCCATGCTGCTCTATTGCATCTTTGTTGATTTGATCTATCAATCTGCTTTTGGGCCTTCCACATGGTCTTTTACCTATTATTGAGACATTTATTGTCGTGTAGAGGCTTCAATATGGATAATATAGTATATTTATAACATAACATTGAGGCTTTTCCTAATTGAAATATCACTATTATTGTAGCATATGATGATAAATTACCAACTGCAATAATTAACGCGGTATAACTCTCCTCAATTGCACATCTAACATCATCTATCAGAGGCTACTTCCTCATGCAGAAAGAGACGAAGGAATCTACCAATATGGTTTCATGAGAGGGAGATCCACCACTGATCAAATCTTTGCCTTAAGGACTCTGCTTGGAAGAACAGGGGAATATTATATCATCAAACAACACTTTTTCGTAGATTTTAGCAGTGTCATCAGAGAGAGGTTGTATCTGACTATGAAAACAATGAATATTCTCCTTGAATTGATCCATCTTACAGAGCTGCTGATGATAGGATCAAGGTGTCAAGTCAGAATACAGGGAGACCTGTCAGAGGGATTCACGACCACAAGGAGCCGAAGACAAAGAGACGGCTTGTCATGCCTGCTCTTTAATCTTGCACTAGAAAGGGACTCCGAAATGCAAAGAAGTGAGACGATTCTCCCCAAGTCATTACAAATTCTAGCTTACATAGATATTATAGCTAGATCACAGAGAAACTTGGAAAGGAGCTTTTTAGCTACAGAGTTAGAAAGAGGCTTTTCAACTATAGACTAGCTCAACTGTTAAAATAAAGCAATATTTTTCTGAGAGGAAATACATCTTAAGTATTCTTAAGTAAACTATTAATTTAACGTAATCGTTATATAGTATATATAGCTTCACCAACTATTTGCATTAAATCTGCCTTATGTCATTTTTATACAAATAAACTTTTGCTCTAATACAGCTTATTCTTTAAATATATTAGGGAAAAGCATAAACAATATCTAGAATTCTCGAACATGTATACTAATAAGCTATTTATTTATTGTATATAGAAAAAATATATTATTATTTACCTTAAATGCCATGAATTTATGATATGGCTTAGGCGCCCAAGCATAAATTTCAATAGAATCTTTTAAAGCTATAACAAGGAATTTGATGCGTTCATATTTGACTATTTTGAAGTGAACAGCACCCTGAAGATCTCCAACATTTATCCAACCATTTCGCCTTTCGACTTGCTGCAATCATATATAAAAAATATATATATAAATAAGGTATTAGAAGGCATAATAGAAACGAGTGAAAGTTTTCAGTTTTAACCTCTGAGACTCCGTCAGTTCTTAAGATTTTTCCTTTAAGCCACGACAGATAATAAACTCTGACTCTGTTCTTCTTGCCAGAGACGGTGACTAGGATGTTCTGGCCCTCTAATACTTCCATTTGTTGAAACCTTCTTCGTGAGATTAATTGATACACTTTCCCTTGACCAGATCTGTCGAGAAGCATCAAACCGGTTTCAGTACCAATCAGAAGATTAACGCCTGAAAACAGAAATAAATTTCTTTAGAGTAACATTTAAAATCAACTGGACCAATATCACTTTCAACATTTGGAAATTTTGATAAAATTGAAATTTAGAATCCAATTTCATAAAAACTTCTTATTTCACATTTATACGCCCATATTTAAAAATAAATTTATATGTTTTTTTATAGAGGAAATGATGATTAAATATAAGTTGATTTTTTGGAAAAAAGGCTGTAAATATTGTAATTTTATTTCTTTGTGAAAATACAACTAGATATTTTTATTTTATTTCATAGAAAACAAATAGAAAAAAATGTCATTAAAAATTAAATGGGCTGACATGCCAATCAGGAGGTGACTGAAAAGGAGCTGGGTGAGAGATCCCCTTTCCAAATTCAAAGAAGTTGAACACTATATAATAATTATGCTGCTAAATTGGATGCAATACATAAAGGTTTAAATGTTATATAGCCCATTAGACAAAAAATAGTCATATGCACAGATTCTGTATCTGCCCTAATTAGCCTAGAAAATGTTTCCTCATCTAATATCATCATACAAAAACATTCTGTACTCAATAAAGTCCGCAAATAGAAATAATATATCAGTATTTTTTGTCTGGGTCCCTGAGCATTGCGGAAAAGACGGTAATGAACTGGCTGATCGAGCTGCCAAAACAGCCATTACTGATGGAATACCTTATCGGGGAGTACCTGTAGAGGATTTTATAACTGTCATCAAACATAAAATGAAGACAAAATGGGAACAAATATGGTCGAATGTAACCGAAAATAAATTGAGGGAGGTAAAGGGTGACGTTTCCTCTTGGGCATCGTCATATAGGAATAACTGCAGAGAGGAATTCTTATGCGCCTGCGTATAGGTCATACATGCCTTACTCATGGATACCTGACGGCCCATGATTCTTCGCCAACATGCCAAACCTGTGGGACTCCTCTGACATTAAAACACATTTTAACATAATGCAGAGCTTACGAAACATTTAGACTATCTTGTGACTTGACAAACGATCTACACTTTATTTTACAGGAAAATACGAATGAAATTGATAAATTATTTTCTTTTCTGAAATGTTCTAAACTTGAAAATAAGGCAATAATGACTCTAGTGGTTGAAGCCTTAAAATAAAAAAAAGAAGTATACAAAGATCAGGAAGAAGTGCTGCTGGGTGCTATCGTTCCTCATGCATAAAATGCCATTTTCCAAACAATAACAACACATCTGCTTATTTTATTGTCATGTTCATGACAGGTGCAGATGAATATCTGAAGAGAAAAATAAATAAAATATTTCTTCTCGATTATAATATAATGTTGATTATCCAGTTCGGATTTTAAATATTTTTCAATCCCCCGAGGCGTCTGAAAAGAAGATGGCCTAGTGATCTCCTCATACAGACATATTATTAGAGTGATACAAGCGTTTTCAAATGATTATATTCTTGTGTACACATTTACTTGATGTATTTATATTGTAATACAGTTGTAAATATCTTGAATAAACAGTTTTAAAAAAATATATATTTTTCAACATTATTTTTCTAATGAAAGAACAAAACATTTTTTATAAGTAATAAATCATTAAAAGAAAAAAGATCAGCTAAAAAAATAAGGTTTACTACTTGGAATTTTAAAGGTTTACTACTTGGAATTTTAAAATCACTTCATTTTACTGATTTTTTCAATTTTTTTAAATAATTTTTTTTTTATTTGTACTTTCAACCATATACTGTGGATAATAATAAATAAAAATGAAACACTCACAACTTTATTTCCACTAAAAAATTATCTAGACTTCTGGCGTACTGTTAAAATACAATAAGAAGGTTTTTAAAACTATCACTTCAGAGAAGAAATCATACAGCAATAAAAAATCTCCGAGTTAGCAACAAATTAAAACTTATTAATATTCTTTTTAAATAATAAATTTATAAGCTACAGAATTTATAAGCTAAGTATATCAGACAAACAGTAAAAAGTAATTATTTTCTTGTTTTTCTTTTCATCCATACTAACGAAGGTAACTTTATATTCATGCGGGATGAGGTTAAAAATTGTTTTTTAAGATTAAAAAATTTCTACTCTTATTTTACATTTTATGACATCAAAGAACCAATTTGGTTTCATGTCTGTCTACAGCTGAATCCAAGCACCATGTATACACTTTCTAACATCAATTCAACTTTTATAAAATTTCAGGAATTGTGTGGATGGGTTGATGCTTAGGTAGTCCCGTATAAATTTCATCAAATTTGATCCACTACTTCGGCTTACACATGTATTTTCTTAGACAGCTAAATTTCAAAAAAGGTGCATGCAATTCGAAGGTTGACAAATTTTTATTTTATATCCCTTTGAAATATTTTTGAAATTTATATTTCAAATGATATATTTTCTTTAAAGTTAATTCATTCACTTAAAAATTTATTTTAATTTTATTTGTAAACAAACATCTAATTTTTTTTTTGTTTATTACTATTTCAATAGTTGAATTATTTAATTTTAAAATAACTTTTTTATTTTTATAATTTATTTTCCTCATGTTTCTATACAGATGAATATATTTTTAAAAAAAAAAAATCTTACCCCATAATGCCGCACAGAGGATTTCAGAATTGAACCTCTTCTTGTATTTCCTGATTTCCGGAGTGTCAGAAGCCAGATCATGGGAAGTCGGCGTCACGTTGACGTTGACATGAGACTCCCGCCTGTTAGCCCCGTTGTTGCCAGCCCCAAATCCAAACGTAAGGAACGATCTCTGCTTCTGTTGACCAACAACACCACCCAACTTAGCTACTGCTTGTCGGTACTGAAAAAAAATTTTTTAAATGCCATTTTCTACTTTTCTATTTTATCAATAGGTTTCTTTCCACTGAACTGATTCAAAAATTAAAGATAGAAGAGATGCTTTGAATATATTTGATAATCATGCACAATTGCATAGATTCACCTTTAACTGTTAAGAGAAAATTAATTATTGCTAAAAAAAGAGCACCTGAAAAAAAAATACCAACAGAATTGAAGATAACTTACTAAATGCTTTTAGTAAATAAAATTGTTGTGTTTTGGTTAATATCACACCACAAATAGAATATTTGTGGAGGTGAGAATAATAGTAGTATAAGACAATTTTGATTTTTGTTAGAAAATGAATGTTTCATAATCTTTATATATTATTTCTCAAAGGTGTTTTTTGTCGGTGCGTCATAACTTTGTCAATTCTTCATCAAATCCAATGATTGAGCCTTCATTTTGAAGTTCTCCTTCAGGTGGGAAAAATAGCCACATCCCCCAAAATTTCAGAGAAAAAAAGGTTAGAAGGGAAAAGAAACTTTATTTGCGAATAACTCAAAAATTATACACTTTTTTTATCGCTTACATCTATGATTATTTAATTCACTACAAAAGGAAAAAAAAATCATGCAATTCAGACCCTTATTAGCTTAGATACAGGTTATTGCAATTCTTAAACATATTGGTTTAAAACAAGATTGATGTTTTATAATTTTCTTTTTCTTGATCGATTACAATTACCGATAAAATAGGAAATGATTCTTTCATCTTATGATACGTTGAATTATTTAATTTACTTATTATTTTTTTCATTTGTTCACTGACCAATATTCTTTGCAAATTATTCGCACCGATCAACTAGTTGTTAATATTTCAAGATTCAATTTTTTAAAATATTATTTTATCTCATACAAAGAATTTCACAAATCATTGAAGTATAATAATTTCAGAAAAAAAAAGTTAACCCTTTTAAAACGTCTTCAATTTATTTAATTTCATCACAATGGATAATATTTCAAGCTCACCTTGCCCATATCGTCTGTCTAAATCTATCTATAGATATATGTATAGTATGCAAATCATTAAAGTACATTTACAAAATATTCACATAGGTCCAAGCATTCCAAACTTCCATATTTTCTTAAATTTTTCCCCATTAAGACATCTAATAATTCACATTTGTATGCACTATTCTCCATCTTCAGAACTATATTATTATTGTTAACAAAAAGGCAAGATGATTTTAATAGTGGTCTTGTCATTACATAAATTAATTATCGTTAATAAAATACGTATCTTATTCTTTCTATCACGCTGTTTACTATCAGTATCCTGACTGTTAACTGTGAATTGAATATTTTAAATAATAAAGAAGAAAATAATAAGTTTCAAAACTTTCACTGTACAGACAACAATCAAAATTGACTTACTCCACTATCATTTTAACTCCCTCATTTAAAATGAACATAGAATGTAAGCACTAATAAAAATATTGATTGTTATTCAGATTTAGTTAACGAATCAGAGTGCCACCTTTATCTATAGGAATTTCAATTTTAGGCATCAAAAGATTTTTTTTTCTCTCTCTTCTAATCACCGAATAACACACTTAGATATTAAATAGCATATGTTACAAATTAACTATTAAATTGACATTACATTAACTATGTCAAAACATTTATTTTTTATTTTTATCTAATAAAGAATAAATATGTACAATTACTGATTCAGTAATCATTATATCTTGCAAAGTGATACATGGGAGAAGGATTTGATTAGACCACTTATTATTAAATATATTTATTGTAACAATTATATTTCTTTCAACAATTAAAAAACGCTGCAAAATTATTTCAGAATGGTTTATTATTTCTAAACAATTATACATCTAAAGTAACATTACCTTCCTAGTGACAAAGAAAAAGAAATAAAAGGTGATTCCAATTATTGCCCTAAACATTTTTTTTTTAACCAATAATAATTTGCTAAAAAAAAAATAGCATTATTTCAGTAACACATTCAAAAATCAAAATCCAAAACAAAGGATATAACCTTTGCAGTTTAACACATAAAAAACATCGAAAGATTATATCTTTGCTCCTAATTGTTCGATTCTAACGATTTTTTTTAGAAAATTTTGTGAACTTAAAAAACCATGAAGTGTATACTTTATGAAAGTGTGTACTTTTTGAGTTATTCAGAATCTAATTTTACCATCCCTCATAACTTTTTTCCAGCTTCTTTTCGTTGAAGTATGTTATATAGATAAATTGAAAGGGCATCGGGAAGAGACTTTAGCCAAGTTTCATTGAAATCAGTACATTCGTTTAGACGCAACAGTCTAAAGCAACGCAGGTTATTCAGCCGCCATTTTGAAAGAAAAAGGCGGATAGTATCGTTGATGAAGGAGGATCATCTTAGGGTTACTTCTGATTTTAAATCCAATTATGAAAAAAATCGGTCCAGTAGTTTTGGAGAAAAAACGGACAAAAAACTGTTTATTCGTTTTTCAAATTCTACGTATCCTGAAACTTAACACCTCAAATTTTGAGAGGGAGTTAAGTTTTTGAATTTTTTTTTATTACAATGGTTCAATATTGAAAATAATTATCAAAAAATATATGACCAAAACAATTAAAGGACCAACAAGAAGGTAGTTAAAAAGATATTTATTTAAAAAAAAAACACAGAAAATAAAGTAAGTAAAATATAATAAAATTCTTTTAATGATCCATTTTTAAATGGATATTTTGGTTCAAGAAGGAAAAGTATAGATGATATAGAATTATCAAGCCCAAAGCCATTAAGTGTTAATAGAGAATCAGTTAATTCAGTTAAATTGTATAATAGTATCAGAACAAAATAATGTTGTTGTTTTTTGTTTATTTAAGAGCTCCCTGATCAAGTTTAAAATAAATATATTTTTATTTAGTGTTTTTTAAAATATATTTTTATTCAGCGTTTTTAAAAATATATTTTTGAGAGACTCAAGTGTCAGGCAATGTCATAAGAAAAGTCAGTTTTCAGGTTTCATTACTAAAATATGAATTAGTTAAATAAAAATTTGATAATAGTGTTTAAAAATGAGAATGAAGTTTTCTGACTCAGAGCATTTATGAAGAAAAAATTAATAAATTAGTTCATACTAAGAATTCGGTAGAAGACGATGAACTTATTTTAATCTATCTGGTGTCAAGCAAGATAGCATTATGCCTATAACATTTTTGGATTAAATTTAAATCAAAATTGGAACCATTTTGAAACACACCTATTAAAAAAATGGAATAAATTTTACCTGCTGGGTTTAGAAAAAAATGTTAAGTAATTTTAAGTTGGTTAAAATTGAATTTAACCATTTTTTTATTTATGTTGCTCTAAAAAGGAGCTTTTTATATTGGATTTTTATATTCACAACATATCTACCTAACAAAATAAAAAATAAATTTAAATTGAATTAAATTAATTTTTTTTTTTTTTAAATGTCCAAAATAGTGAAAAATTGTTTATTGAAAGAGAAGCATATACATATGCACACTAATGTAACAGGAATTTCAACTAGATATAAGTGAACCGACATATCATGGCAGCATTTTCAGTTAATTCGACTCCTATAATAAATAATTTCTGTTTAAAATATATCTAAGTTAATTCAAAAGCTAATTTGATTTAAAAACTAAGAATAAATATTTTTTATTAGTTATTAATACTAGAAAAATAGAAAGCATTTAAAATTTAATAATCATGCTACATGCACTAATGATTTAAATTAACAACTTCGTAAATAGAATTTTTTAATTCAATGATTAAGATTAATTAAGTAACAAATAATTTTTCGATAGAAGCATTAACTTATATTGTAATTAGAAAAATAATGGGAAAAAAATAGTACTTACATGTGAAATTAATTGATGTTAGTCCATGTTGTTTCCAGGTTTAACTCCCACAGCAAACACACAATTATTAGTATGGCTTATATACAAGCAAACTAAATGATATAACAAAACAAAAACATCCAGGGACTATCCAAAACAAAATAAAATGTATGAAAATTTAATTTTTCAAGGGTAAAAAAAAATTAAGAACAGAAGAGAAAGTGGAGATGTGCCATTATGAGTAATTTTCAGTCTGTTTTAAAGGAGTTTTAGGATTAAAGTCATGTCAAAATAAAGTCGCAATAAATAACTATTAAAAAGTTGAATTGAAAAGTATACTGTAAATAAAAAGTTTAGTAATCTAAGTACACCAACTAGGAGAATAACGTCTGTAACTGTTCAGGTTTACTAACTTATTTAGCAATAGTCTGAAGGTGAAAATTACCCAAAGGGTTTTCTACAAAATGAAATTCAAACCTCAGAAACAAATATCAAATTGGATAGTTACATGGAAAAAACATATCCTGCAAATTTGAGCTGCAATAGAATTCAAGTGACAAAGAATGTATATAAAATTGAGATTCAATTTTTTAAATACTAATTAAAGGTTCATATTTAGCTAAAAGCTTGAAAATACTGTGTGTATGGAAGGAATAGTGGGGACTGGGCCTGTGTTCACCGTGGTGTGACGTATACTGTATTAAAAGCTTATAGTTGATTTTTCCATCAAAATATTTAAATTAATGTCTATTTTTTATCCTTCTATTCATATTATATTGTATCACCACTTTTGTGATTTAGTACAATACAGTGCAATATCAGTAATCCGAACTTTGGCAGTCTGAACATTCCAATAACCATGGTCAAAAAAAGAAACTAAGGGAAGGAATGGTGGCATAGAGAAATCACGTAACTCCTCCCACTTTATGGAGGGTGCGGAAGAAAGTGATGGACTCTATGCATATCACACTGGGGAGAGGGGACCCACCAGAGGAAGGAGAAAAGGTGTATGGCGAATGATTGGCACCACAAAGATCAATGGATATGGAGACACTAGAGGAGCAGCAGGGATGAAGAGCCAGATCAATGGGTCTCGCAGATCCTGACAGGACACGGAGGGTTTCAGGGGAAACTACATGCATAT